TATATATATATATATATATACATAGCATGCAGATAATTATGTTTGAGTTGTCAGAAAGAATGATTGGTCAGTCATCCAGGCCAGATATAGAAACATGAATGAATGAGAAAAATAAGTCTAAAGAACTTCAATATATTATGCATTTGATCTCATAAGTGGTAGATAAAATGATATATATGGAGAAATCTTCTACTAGCGATAGACCTAGATCTAAAAATGATAGTGAAATTGTCAAAAAAATTCCCTATCAAATTGAAGTCCTTTGTTCAACTACCGGTTAAGGAAATAAACTCGCTATTATATTCTATGACATTGATATGACTATTGATGAATTCACATAACTTGGCCAAAATCTTCAACTATTTTAGGCAGCGAACATACCCGAAAGGTCCATACCTTAGACCTTGCATAAGTGCAGCTTGAGCAACAACCGGCACCAAAATTTTGACCTCAAATATTTCTTGCTAAAATCTTATAATAAAATTTCGAGGCTCATCATATTTTTACCTCATCTTTAACAAAATTTGAGAATTTTTCAAAGGATTTTGAGCACTAGTGAATCGAGCTGTATATTGTTTCTTTAATTCAACAAATGAAATAATTGTTCTATGTTAAAATTTAGAGAAATATCTAAGCGGTGACTTCTTAAAAGTAGTAAAGAATAATCATTGATGTTCTTAGGAGAGATTATTGATTCAAAATAAACAAATGGCCAGCATGATACACCTTCCCTTCTAAGAGTTCACATAAGGAATTTTGAACTTTGTAGGAGACTATGTCTATGAAATCTCCTTTGAAAATGCATTTGATAATTGTGGCTTAAACTTCTCAATCTTTGTCACATGAGAGTGAATTCTTGGTCTTTCAAGAATATGCATTTTTTCTGTTGCTGGAGTAGTTAATGCCCTTAAACCTGTAAATTTGAAGATCCTTTTACAATATCAACTCTTAGGGTGGCTATGGGGACACACTCCAAAACTCTTTGAAACATTGTAGTAAACCTTCCTTTGATTTCAGTTATAGTTTTTGTTGCCAATAAAATCTTGGTTTTCCATGTTTATTTTCTTTCTTTTGTTGCTCCACTATTTATAGTGATGGATTTTTAATTCGTAGCATCCATCTATACTCACTGCACTCATGAGAATATTGGATTCAAATTTCTTCATGGATGACTTTAAAATCTTACTAATAACACATTAAAAAGGATAATAACTAGAGAGAGAAAAAGAGTATATAATAAGAAGCTCTAAACTCTTACCATATAAAAAAGTACAACGCTTTAAGAACAAATGATTTAATGCGTCAGAAGCCTCCTATGACCCCTTATTTATAGCATGAGTAAAAAATAAATGCTAAAAAAATTACATTATGTAAAAGCTAATTCTTTTAAAACAAATAAAAAGCTAATGTCAACTTACTGGAACAAACTTTTAGCTGGCTCATTAAATAGAAAAAGAGGAGAAGAATAAAGAGAGGGTGAGTCAGTCGAAGAGGGGAAGTGCAGGTATAGAGGAGACCGAGAGAGAGAGGAAAGAGGAATGAGGCAAGAGGTAAACTAACCGAGAACCGACTCAAACATAGGTAAGGTAAGTTTTTTTTTCTTTTCTTTTCTCATTTAAATTTTAGAAAGAAAATTTGATTTTGTTATTTTATTGAAAAATCCTAAAATTAGTTAAAAAAAACAAGAAATATTGTCAGGATTTTGTATAGGAAGAACAAAGTCAATACAGAATATTTAACTAATGAAATATGAAATTTAAAATCTTGTTCAAATAATATTTTTAAGTGGGAATGACATATATGTTCAAATAAAATATTTTGTTTCATTAGAAGGCTTCCTTTGTGCATGTATATTAAACAAAGTAGGTAAAATAACTAGATTAGATGATTATATAAGATTATAGGTGTATGATGCCAATAATTAGAAATATAATTATAAAGCTGTGTTAAGCCATAAATTAGATTGATTAAATATAATTTATTACTTAAGTGAAAATGAAATATTTTTAAATAATAAGAGGAGAGAAATATGATAAATATAAGGTATAATTAAAAAAAGTTATAAAAATAAATGTGTATATCTTATAAGTTAGTGAAGGATGAAATTATAACATAGAAATGCATCATCAGAACTTACGCATTTAGAGCATCATCCAGTTCAACACGCTCACTGGGAATCCATGCAGTTTCCTGTCCAGGGGGGATTCGGGTTATTGCTGTTTTGATACTTCGCAGTGGATCAATGTCAGCAACCTGTATGCAAAAATTTATATAGATATATATACAGAAAAAAATCATGCTTTGCCTACATTGAAATAGTTAGCAAAGCAAGTAACAACCAATAAAACCTGAATTATGATTAGAAAATTACTGGCCAGTCAGAACCAAAAGCTAATTTTGCACCTCCTGTAAGAAGAGACCTGAACAGATACGACCCTTTCTGAGCTCTAGCCTTACCAATTTTCTTTTCAGCGGAGCTGGCATCATCTAGTATATGATCTGGCTGGCAGAAGTAAAATTTAGAATATCTATAACTTCCAATGTCTTTAATATAACAAAGCAACAAAGAACATGCAATTTAAAGATCATAATCTACTATCCGGAACAGATGATAAAGTATCCATTTAAAGTTAGATGATTTATGATTATTACGATTGCAAAGGTAAAGTAGGTAAAGTTGATGTAGGACTACAATGCTTGCAATGAATTTGTTAAGAATTTGCACAACTTCTTGATTAGAGAATTAACAAATAGAATTATTAGCAGGTAAAACGATGAAACAAAACAAAAGAGCGCTCACTCTCGTTTAGGCTAAGTTGCATAACAAGAACATTGAATAATCCAAAATAGCATAGAAAATCAACAACATACAAACATAGGAGCTTTCAACAAAAATCCCTAATCTAACAATAAGATTAGAAAACACATAAAGTGCACTCAATTCCCTACGTTTACTAAGCTCAACAGAATCGGGCAAACACGACCTTCATGACTACAATCAAATCACAAGAAAAGATTAGATTTTAAGAAATACGAGAAAAGGGATATTAGAAAACCTTCGTTAAGAATCGGTTGTAAGCATCCACTCGACAGTTCCAAGTTGTTCTTCAATAGCCTTGACCAAGGTATCCAAGATGCGCTCTACGTACTCTTCTACGGTGTGGTCGATGCGCGGGTTGATGTCGAAGAAGGTCGAATCCAAGATGCACACGAAACCTTGCTCGTCGTAGGAGAGGCCATAGTCAAGGTATGGATCGGCCATTCATGAATGCTCGTCGATGATTGCTACCAGGGATCACAAGCAACTTCGAATTCTGTTAAAGAGAAAGAAATTTCTCTTAAACTTGAAGTGGAGGTGGTGAAGCATGGCCAGTAACGATAGGGAGGACTTGGGCGAGGGGAAGTAGTTTAAGAAGGAAGAGCAAATTAAAAATCTGAAATAAATTTCAGAATTTTAATTGGGAGGGAATTTAGGAATTAAGTTTGAATTTAATTCATAGAGGGGAAAGAGGTGCTAATGTAGAGAGAGGAGATTGGAGAGAGAGGGGATGGTTAGAGGGAGAGGGGCGGCGGCATAATGAGGAATGGGTGATGGGGACATCAAATTTCGACACGTGTACCATCGCCGAAGACGCCGGTCGACGGCCATGATTCAGAGTCTTTATTTTTGATGTTTTATTCATGTCATTTATATTTCATGTTTTTCCTTTTGTACCCATATGAGGGAATTAGTGCTTGTTATAGCCCAAGGGCAATGTTGTCTTCATGTGTTTTAGTTCCAGATAGCCTATATAAAGGCTTTGTCATTGTATTTGAGATTATTATTGGATGAATAAAATTTCTTACTCTTGTTCTCTTTGTGAGTGCATGAAGATTTCTTGGTGAGTTCTTCAATTGACATCTCTTAGTGAGTTCTCTAAATTTTTCTTTTCTTTTAATTACCTTCTCTTACCCACAAGAAAAGCTCCACAAGCAACTCCCCTAGCCTTTGCCGCCGACCCCCCCCCCCTATCTTGCTCCCCTCATTAATTGGGCAATTAACTCCTTCATTTGATTTGAAATCCAAATCAATTGCAAGCCAATTTTTCCTCCAATTGTAATAAAACTGAAAATAATTTCAGTTTTAAAACTCCAATTCCCCTCTCTGCTGAGCTTAGTAATTTGGATTTAGGAATTAGGAAAGGTTTTAATTAAATCCAATTTGAATTTAAAATTCAAATAGCTTTAAATTAAGAACTTTCCAAAAATAGAATAGTTAGATTAGGAAAAAATTTGAATTCAAATTTAATTGATTTGAATTTCAAATTGATCATAAATTAACCCCAACCAAATTAGGAAACCCAAGGAAGAAGGGAGAGAGGATGGAGGCGGCGGCTAAGGGGGCTAGGAAATACAACCTCCCTTAATAAAAGGGTACAATGAGAAACTAATAAAACAAATACAATATGACATCATAAATAAGAAAATGCGTAAATAAGAAAATACATAAAACAATTTAGGAATACAATGACTCCATCGTGGCCGTAGATCGACGGTCACGTCTCTGATAGACCTTCCATGATCTGATGTCCCTATCTTTCTCCCGGGGTGGGAGAAAGCTCGACTCCGTCGAGTAAGTGTCTTTGGTGCTCTCGTAGATCTCCAATGCATCGGGGTCAATCTGCTACAACTCCTCGCGATCCAACCAAGTATCCTCTCACTCGGGCTATTCTTTCCACCTGATCAAATACCACCTTCGTCCAACTTCCCTTGTGGATATGATATCATCACTCAAGATCGAGTCCACCTTTTCTGCCATGGGTGATTTGGGAACATTTGATAGTGGGGGTAGGTTTGGGTTCTCATATGGTGGGATCACACAAGGCTGCTGTATGAGTGAATTCAGTGGGTTGAAATCAGGACCTTCATATGCAACTAGATCTTCTATGTTAAAAGAGGGATTGATGTTGATTTATGCAGGCAGATCTACTACATAAGCATTATCATTGATTTTCTTAAATATTTTGAAGGGTCCAACACTCTTAGCATGCAGCTTCTTAATTGTTCCCTGCGGGAACCATTCCGGACGAATCCGCACCATCACGGAGTCACCAACCTCAAATGTTTTAAATCTTCGTTTTAGATCCGTATATAGTTTGTAATTATTATTGCTCTTCTCAGTTTGTATGCAATTCCTTTATGAAGTTCATACAAATGAGATGCAAATGATGATGCAGACTCAAAAATCCTATATCTAGAACACATGGGTATAAGGTCTAGCGACTGTCTAGATTTGAACCCGTATACAATCTCAGAAGGACTTAGGCCAGTGGTTCGATTAATAGAATTAGTATAAGCAAACTCAGCAGTAGAGAAAATGGAATCCCAGTCCTTAATGTGCTCGTCAACCAAAGATTGTAACAGATTACCCAAACTCCTATTAACTACATCGGTCTGACCATTCATTAGTGGGTGATGTTGACCTCTTTTTTCACTCGAGCACTTTCGATCGATTTAATCGAGCATCGTCGAACCCAATTCGAGCTCAACACGAGCAGAATCCTTTCGGAGACCCACAGGTGAAAGGCAGTGGAAAATTGTAATTTAGTGTCCATTTTCATCCAAAGGGTTTTCCAAAAGTAGCTAGTGAATTTCACATCTTGATCCGATACAATGATTTTGGGTAAACCATGTAAACGGACGACCTCATTGAAATATAACTTAGCAATGTGAGAGGCGTCGGATGTTTTGGAGCAAGGAAAAAAATGTGTCGTTTTGGAAAACCGATCAACTACAACTAGGGGTGAAAACGAGTCAAGCCGACTCGCGAGCCGGATCGAACTCTGACTCGATAACTGGCTCGACCTGTCGAGCTTATCGAGCTCGCGAGTCGAGCTTGAACACTATTTTGAGCTCGATGGCTTATCGAGCTCAAGCTCAACCAAACCTCCGACTCGGCTCGTTGAATCGACGAGTAGCTCACGTGTGTGATTGAGTGGGAAAAAAATTTGGCTAGCTGCGAGCGGGATGATGAATGAAGGTCGGGCGGACAACGACGATGAGCTCAAGACTTGACGGATGATTGGCGGAGCTTGGGACTCGACGCCGAGGTCGCGTCTTGAGTTTGGATCTCGACAGCGGAGTCGAGACTCGAGTTCGCAGTTCGACAGACGAATGGCGTCGAGTCTCGAGTTTGGATCTCGACAGCGGAAGCGACGACGAGCTTGGGAGTTGGGACTTGACGGCGGCCGCAACGACAAGCTCTGGACTCGACGGCGGACACAATGACGAGGTTGGGAATCTAGATCTCGACGACGGACACGAGCTTGACGTCGCGGCTGGATCAAATACAATGGATCTTGACTGCGAACGCGATGGCAAACTCGACGACGGACGAGCAGAGTCGATGGAGAGCCCGTGACGACGAAGGAGTTCGTAATGGAGCTCGACTGAGCTCGACAAACCTACTTGGTACGAAGTTCGCAGTGGAGCTCGACTGAGCTCGACGAGCTGCTCATATATGAGACGAGTCGAGCTCGAGCTCAAATTTTGAGCTCGACTTGAGTTCGAGCTCGAGCTCAAGCTCGGTACGATATTTGAAAGTCGAGCTCGACTCAAACACTATTTGGCTCGAGCTCGACTCGACTCGTTTGCACCCCTAACTAAAACACAAATGGTGTCATTCCTACGAATCGTCTTGGACAGGCCTAAGTTAAAATCCATGCTAACATCATGCCAAGGGAAACGAGTGTATAGACCCGTGTTTTGTTTGCGTTTTTTTGGCCAGCTGACATGTGTGACACCGACTGACCATCCGTCCGACATCTCTCTTCAGGATGGGCCAAAAGAAATGATACTCCACGGCTTCGATAGTTTTGTCCCGACCGAAGTGCCCAGCGAGGCCTCCGGCGTGGAGTTCCCAGACAAGAAATTTCCTAAGGGAGGTGCTAGGGATACAAAAACTGTGGGCTTTGAAAAGATAACCATTCTCCAATAGGAAATCGTCCACAAGACACATGCTGCTTGTGGATATGAGAGAGTACGTCTCCTTGAAGTCGGGGCATTCCAAATAATCCCTCTTTATTTGGTCAAATCCCACGACTTCTGCTCTCATCTCAATAGTAGTCATCATACGACGACTGAGAGCATCCGCAACTTTATTCTCAACTCCCGCCTTATGTCTAAGGGTATAAGCGTACTCCTGAAGTAACTCAACCCAACGACCGTGGTGTGCATTTAACTTCTTTTGGGAGTTAATATAATGCAAAGCTTCGTGATCCAAGAAAATGACGAACTCTTGTGGGAGCAAGTAGTGTCACCAATAACGAAGAGATTGGATCACATCGTAAAACTCTTTATCATACGTGGAATAACGCTGTCGGATATCATTGAGTGTTTCACAGAAATAGGCTACTACGTGACCTTCCTGGGAGAGGACTCCTCCAATTCTGACCCCCGAAGCGTCACAGGTTACTTCGAAGACTTTGGATAAATCAAGAAGTCTCATCACTAGGGCTTCCACCATCTTTTGTTTGATCTCATCAAAAGCTCGAGTGGCCAC